GGCGGCGGGAAGCAAGGTGGAGGGGTCCCATCAGAGGAGAGACGCCTCGACCGAGCTACCGAGCGGGCCCTCTCATCAAGGCGAAGACGATAAAGAGGCGACGAGGCCCCGAACCATGATCACCTCACGGTGATTTGGCCAACGAACTGCATTCATGCCCTCGACACATCTATCCTTCACTTACGAAGAGGTCTCTCTCATTTCTATTTCTTCCCAAGATCTCTTTCGATTTGCTCACCAGGGCGATGAGAGTTCCCGCCCTTCTTCAACTCACACGCCTACTCCACCACTCCAGCCACAGTTGAATCTAGGTTTCTCTGCTCAGTAGCGGGAGCAGCTCCCGCTGGAACGTTGACGGTGAGCCAATGGCGATCGCGAAGACGGCCTGTCGCTTTCCTGATGCGGTAGTCTCATGGCGCTTGCCACACCCTGACGGAGAAGTCTCTGTGAGGGGACATCGCGAGAAGGGGTAGTGGCGGTGTCTACTGTTTCTCCTGCCCTCCCGGGACGTGGGGGTCGAGTGAGAGAGCGCCGCGAGGCGAGGAGGGGTTAGGGCCGCACAGGTTTGTGGTGTTCCCTACCCCATTGCTGTCGTCCAGCCTATCTCCTGCGAGTTGAGGGGATTCCCCTTGCAAATCGAGCAGCCAAGATGGCGATCTTGCCGACATTCTGAGGTTTCCGCCTGCGGGAGGTCCGAACATGGCAACCACCCGCAGCCACGAGCCTCTCAGAAGCCCTTCAGGGCGTTGAGACACCTCCACCGAACGGGTGAGAATTCTGAGATCGCTGCATAGCAGCAACGGGAGCGTTTTTACTAGCTCGTGGAAGAGGAAGCGAAGGGGCAAGATGCCGCGAAGAACTCACGATCTGCAGGAGAAGCAGCATATTCCCATGGTTTGCGGTGCGAATTTGAGGCATTCTGGCCAACCAGCACTGCTGACAGGCCCGATTTTCATGATCTGCGACCGCCTTCACCGTGGCTACGACTGTGATGTGGCCATTTCAGGGCCAGGATCGGCACTCGTGAGCCATTTCAGGCATAGGTGCGGTGCAGTGTCAGTCTGTTTAGGGCTGAGATGGGCAATTTTGCTTTCCCCCTCTGCCTGGCCGCTTTGCCTGCCGTATGCCGTTGGGAAAACCGCGTGCGCACGTTTTTTGTGGCGAAGATCGACGGCCCGAGGTTCACCATGGGCCCATGATCTACTGGGGAAGTGACAGATGTCGAGCGGTTTGGAGCGGTTGAGCGTTTCAAAAGGTTGGGGCGAAAGGGTAGGGATTTTCCCATCTGTTGTGGCTGCCCTTTCGATGACGGCAAAGATTTGCGATGAAGGTGAAGCGGGGAAATGTTTTTTTGTGGTTTTTAACGGGACTTCTGTCGGTTTTCCATGGGATTTCCTGCGTCTCCGTCGCTGTAGAAAGTTCTGCAGCTCTCCGATGGTTTTTTTCCCTCATCGCGCGAACTTTCATGGTGCACACACTGCGTGCATTCGGCCCTTTTTGTTTCCAAAAGTTTCATTTCGTTCCAATCTCATTTACCTCTTTTTGTCGCTTTTTGGTTTTGATGGGCTATACGAAGGCGGAGGGATGGGTTGGGGTTACTTTTCAGGTGAGAGGAGGCGATGGTGATCGGCGGTGATCGGCTGTACGTCACTACTGCTTTCTGTCTGAGGCCGTTTGAGAGTAGGGAAACCGGGGAAACATGTTTGCCACGGGACTCTTTGACAGATAGTTTTAATCCAAGGTATTTCTTCCCGACTGCCATTCTTTTCCTCCTACAATCGCTTCGTGTGATTCGGTTTTCGACGACTTTTGACGGACGCCTTGTGCTGCGGTTGGAATTTCGGATGGATGGGAGGAGAGAGGAGGACGATGGCTTCGAACTTCGACATGGTTCTTACGACGACGAGGCGACACAAATGATTGGAAGAGGAGGGCTTTTGACGGAGATGGAAGTGGTGGAGGGATGATGCACGAGGTGGAACAGGGGGTCACGACGCGATCGATTCGACGAGGAGACAGGTTACGCATCACGACGATTACGATACACGACGCGAGCGACTAGTGATGGCTCTATACGGGCGAAGAGCATTGAGATGGTTGCGTGGACGAAGGTGCTTGATGGATGGGAGTTGGTGGATGGCTTAGAGCGTTGGAGCGATCGCCGACCGCGCGATTCGATTGCAGAACACAACATGAGCATGGAGTTATATCATCTGTGATGGTGGAAGAGGATGGTACTGGATGCTGTGCTGCTGCCGACGCATGGACGATAGCAAGGGACTGGCTTCTGATGAATGGTTGCTTCGAAGGGTTCGGAACACAAGACGAGTGTCAGGACGGATCTCTGAAGCAGCTGTTACGACGAGCGCCAGGTTCGAGAGGTCGCTTTCAAGTGGACGCGATCATTGACATGGGCACGCATGATAGTTGGCCAACTGAGACTTATCACGGCGGCTCTGGTCTGTGCCTGTGGAATGGTAGGTGGTCTATTTCTTTTCGGTCAAGGGGGCAGCTGTCTACAGGTTGGGCGTGTGATGCGAGTCCTTGGAATCTGGTCCATCGACTCTTGCTCAACAAGAAGTACGTTCCGTTTGTGTAGTTTGTCCTGTTGGCATTACCGTCACCTTTGCTCCAGCATGCGTAGCAAGTCCTATGCCTGGTCTCTTGAGAGAAGTCTGCCAGGGTCGACGACGCGAGCTCTGCAAAGTCCACGCCGCGGTGCCCCTTGTTCATGCAGCTGAGTTGGCAGTTCTGCTCGCTTTTCGGACTGGGATAGACGTTTTGATAATGCTTGGGGGCGTCGTGTCGGGATCGGGGAACCTATTGGACGCGGCCAGGTCAGCTCAGCTTAAGGTTCAAGTGGACCTTGATGACAGAAGCGATGAGGTTGCAAAGGTGAAGACCGACGCGAGTGGCTTTGGCCTGGCCGTGTATTTCAGAAGCTCTCAATGTCTACCGGACGTGCCCTTTGCTGGTTGCAAAAACACATCACAACGCATCACACGCTTCTGAGGAATTCTCGCCATGGCCGCGCCTTCTAGCGCCTCCCAAGCCGTCTTGACGACGCATTCAAGCATCGATGAAGTCTCCTAACCCCGACGAGTGCCGCCCGAGATTTTCTCGCCATACTTGACGAATTGATTGCGGTCTTCGAGGCTTCGATGGCGGAAGCTCTCTGGATCCTCACAGCTGAGTTTCCGTACTTTTCAGGCTGGCGTTCAGCTTCCGCATACCTACCAGACTTCGTGCAACAGCAGAGACACCGACTCGCGTGCTTCACGAGGATTGCGCTGATCAGCAAGGACGCACACGCGTACGCCAATCGAAACTTTGGCCGTCGCTTTCAAGTCTGGGCAGTGCATCAGAAGCTCAGGAAGGAGATGTCTTGCCACATACTGACGCTGCCCAGAATCGACGAATTTTCAATCCACTATGAATTCTTTTACTATATAGCAGGCCGAGTTCCGTAGACGTCTGATCTGTGGTGTAGGACGTCATTGCTGCCCTACGTCGAGACGCTGAGTATCCCATACATCTCGCCGCCTGACAAATTCGCGCGCATTTTCTCGGACTTTTCCAATGTCAGGCTCTTCCTGATTGAGAGCGAATGTCGAGACTGGCCAAATCCATTGTATGATAAGCACAAGCTCTGCTCCCACGGCAATCTCCTCCCCGTCAACGGAAACCTCATCCCAATCTTGCAGGCGGGTTCCCCCGGCAGGCAGAGTATCGAGAAGGCGCTAGACGGGGGCGCTCGCGTCATTCTCAAGCGCTATATTGACAGGAATGATGTCGAGGTGTTTTCCACACAGAAAGGTCTTCGGGTGAAGTTTTCCCACTGCGAGTTCAAGTGCGCCTGCGACGCGACTCGCCGTGATTGGTTGGAGAGAAAGAGATGCCTGTTAGGATCAAAAAGCTGCCTGCCCGAAGGCTGACAGACGTGCGAGAGCTGGTCGTGGACACGGATATACGCGGCTATTGCCTGCATAACGAGCTGACCTGGTCTTGACGTGGTTGCTCAATGTGTGTAGATGCGAGTCTTGTTATATATGATGGTGCGACGGGATATCGAGACGCAACCTGCCAGCTTCAGGTTACGGGATACTCCACCAAGCCTCACAACATTTGGCGAGCCTCCCTGTTTCTGGTCATGTAACACCTAGTTTCGTAGGTGTTGGGATAAACGGAATATTTGACATTTTTATTTCCTTGTTTTGGACGCCTAGTTTGATCTCGCCCTTCTTTTAGTGTCACATGAGCCCCCAGACTTGGACTGATGTCCTCCATGGCATCAGTTCTTTTCCAGATCTCTTGGCGCAAGAGCAAACCTCGGCCACAGTCAGCTTTTGGAACACAGCCAAGAAGAAAAGACGAGGAAAAGGCGAGTCTATAGTTAAGAAATGCTTAAGTTTCCTTCCAAAGCCAGCTCCTGCGGGGTGTTGCGATTCTAAGTCATGAACAACACCTCATCTGGGGCCGATTGAACGTATATCGAGAATTTGCATGTCTTGTTGGGCTTGGAAAACCTCTGTGGATCAGCTACCGTTTCTAATGATCTTCACGCTAGGTATGCAGAGCCAACAGGGTGTTGTGTATCAAGGTGGCCTGCCAGGCGACTGGCCGTATATATTAAACTGGCCGTATTTATTAAGCAGTTCTGAATTATGCCCAAACGCCAAGTGTAGCTCACAAAGCCTTATTACCGAAAGCGCTTTATCTTCCCCGCAAGACCTCTTTGTTGTCTTGTCGCACAGTCCTTGCCGTCTGCGCGTTGCACGCTGCTTCGTGAATTCTGTCCCTTCGTATCTGCGCTGAGAACTCCCAAATCATTGTCATTATCGTCATTATCATCGTCATAGTCATTATCTACCTGGCGTTTGAAGTTAGCGGAACTCCGAATCTGTGTGGAAACGAAGAATTACCTGATTGCATTGTAATCCCAGGCTTGAATGCGTGCTAGCGCTAACTGCTGTCCGTTTCTTGATGTTGTTGTCATGTTCTTAGACCGTGTCGAAGATGGTGGCGTCGCTCGAATAAAAGGTGTTGGTCTTCACGCCAGCTGTCCAGATGATATCGAAGAATGGGGGAATCTTGGTCGGGTCGGCAAATGAGTCCCTGGTAAGGGGAGACAGATCATCGTCGATGTACTCAGCGGAGATGAGATCCCTCCTCTTTGGGATTCCAATGAGAACTCTCCGTAGGTTGGGAAAGAGCTGCAAGAATCTTTTGACGTCTTCGTCTCCGATTGCCCCTTTTAGGACCTTGATCGACTTCAGGCTATCGAGATGGACCTCCTGAATAGTCTCAAATATCTGCGTTTCGAATGCAGGCATATCGACCAGTGCGCCGAGTACAGACCACCAGAAAGTCAGATCCCTTCCGAACAGAAAGGTGTCTCCTGTGGCAATCCATGTCAAACCCAGATCCTCGAACGAGCCGAACGAGCGTGAGGCAGCCCCTGGGAATGGGGCAAAGTGCTTCAACACCTCCCTCCTCAGGGTAACGTCAACCTGCGAAATCATTCGCAGAGGACCAAATGGCGTTCCCCGTCTCCTCGGCAAGTCCGCTTCGGACTCGGGGTAGATGATGTTGTCCGACGAAGATCCGGTCCAACTTTGGCGCACTCCGAGCTTCCACCTGACCCCACCGTGTGTGCAGTCGTTCCCAGTAATGGCGGCGTACACATCCCCAATGACATACTGAGCAATGTGCAGGACAAGTTCATATGGCAAATGGGGTAGGGGGGCAGACGCCGCGGTAGTGGTGCTCGCTGCCATCTTTATTGTATTGTGTGCTGTTGTGCTGGGGTATTAGGCAAATGGATTGCGAAAGAAATGGTGTGGCAAGAGAAAGGACTTTTTGTTATCCTCCCTTGAGAGAAAGCAGGTGGTGTAGAAAGTAAAATAGAGCAAAAGAAAACTAGAGAATTTAAGGCTTCTTTTATATGTTTCGTTCGTCTGAAGTACGTTCCGTGGGCTGCCAATTCACTGTGTAGAAGGTGAAATTGATGGCATCAGCTGACCTAGCGATGGGTGAATTAAATGTGAGAAAAGGAAGCATCGAAGATTGGATGGAAAGCGAGTAGCAAGGTAGATTGTCAGGTGCCTTGAAAAGGTTACCCATCCACACGTAACTACTTCCCCTTGCACTCGGATTTCACAGTACCTAAGTCGCCACTGAGGTCGGTGGATACGCGGACAGCAAAAAGCACGGTTTCCATCCGTGGATGTCCCTAAGAGATCCGTATAACTACTCAACCGTTGAGAATTCTACCTCCAGCGCTTCTGGCGGTCAGTGATATATAAAAGTTCGCTCCAGAGGCTCACAGCTTGATATGATATTGGTGTGCCCTGCTATTAAAAACGACTCATCTGGAGGTTGAATACGAAGCAACCTGGCTGGAATTGACAGAAATCTGGGTCCTGCGTCAGAAGTAGATCGCTGAAGGTCTATATATCCCACAATGATTTGAGAACCCTCATGGGCTCTCTGGTCCACAGCCAGAAACGTCCACCGTGGTAGGTCGATATCGTCGAAAGGGTTTTCTCGCATTCAGGGTACCTTAACCCCTCAATCCAATGAATCAGTATCACGCCCTTTCCATTGTCTACATGATGTGACAACGACACCGGACGTCAGGCGTCAGTCGGAGTCAAAGGTCTTCCCCGCTGCCATGAACATTTTGAACCTGTTTCCCACGGATTTCTTCTGTTCCTTCGTCAGAGTAAACTGGCAGTTAAGTCGCCCACAATGATGGGGTCTTGATGTTAGGATTAAAAAGGATCCAATCTTCTCATCAGCAGACTTCCGTCGCTACTGATTTTCGAGTCAAAGCCAGCGCCATCCTGATGACGAAACAGCTGAACGTTGCGTCGAAACAGGTAGTTTTGGTAATAGCCGGTGAGGTAGAAGGCGACCTCTCGTTCCCATATCGGCGCCCACAAAGGGCCACTTAGTTCGAAACCTGATGGCAACTTCATCAGTGATTTCTCGTCGACGACGGACACGTTTTCGTGTTGACACTGATGATTTCCTGGAATGTGGGCGTTTGTATCGACACCGAAGTACGACATGAGCGTCACGGACTTGAGCGCTGGCAATGCCGTGAGAATTTCGACGATTTCAGGGAACATGGTGAAACACGCCTCGACAGGGTTCACAGCAACATGTTCGATGAGGTGAAGGGCGGGAGACTGTCGGAGAGAGCGGAGAAAGGATAGGGGGAAAATGATCTGAAATGCATCGACTCGAGGACACATCCATATGTAGCTCACGCCGCACCCAAATGTTGTGATTGGAAGCTGAACAAGGGCAGACGCAACCATGCGACTTGTCTTGCGGTCAATATGGTGGAAATTGCGGACGAGGTCACGCCGATGAGATATGTCGGCTGGACGAATAAACTGATGCTTTCCGAGTAAGATCTTGTGCTTTCCGTGGACCTCATCCCTAGTATCGGGCTCTTGGATGCTCAGGCTCAGGGGATGTTCTGTGGCGTCTGATATGGCATCGGCGATAAGACTCTCAACGACTTGGAGAAATATCTCGTATGGAAGGTGAGTGATGGGAAGGCTGTTGAGCTGCATGGTAGCCATATCTGCCCCTAGCTGTGAGACGTCGACAGCCATACTGAATCTGGGCGTTGAAGCTGAGAGCTGAACTACAACTGGCGTTGTTCGTGTTCAAGAGAGTGGGAGGAGAGTTGGTGTTTTATAAAGAGAATGCCGCAGTCAAAGGCGCTGCCTTGAATCAACAAAGGTCAAAGAAGACTGTGCAGGCGGGTGCTGACCCTGGTCCGTTTATAACCAGCTTCCTGTCTCTTTCCTTTCATATCAAGGGTTCCATATCGCTGCGTCTTTCAACAGCTCCGCTCCCCTTGTTCACGCTTGATGTCAAACATCGAGGGCCTCGTCCAACAAGCACCCTATGTTGGGCCCTGACCTCCCACAAATCCCACAATCTCTCCGTCTGAGGGGAAAAAGATTTTCTCCCAAGCAAATCGACGAAAGCTTCTCTCGTCAACATCGCCAGCATCGCCAGCATCGCCAACATGAGCGAGAACTCGCCTTCGTCGGGCAGCGCCCTCGCGGCCATGAGCCTCCGCGATGACAATGACAGGTACGTGATTTCTGGTTTCTCGTATCTATTTCAGCCGTCGTTTCAGTGGTGGCTTTCCTGATCGCCGGAATTTCGCGTTGGGAAGTCCTCAAAAATCCCAGCCGGGAAGGAGTGCTGACGGAATCATAGTATCACTGCCAGCGAGAAGAAGCAGCAGTTCCCCAAGATTCCCTACGAGGTCTCTCTTCTCATCTGTGAGGGTCTTGTCGATATCGCCTATGCCAAAGCTTGCCAGGAGCCCATGACTTGGCAAATCACGGCTCCGAAGGCGGACGCCTCGTCTGCTCCGCTCTACGTTGTCACCGACAAGCACCGCCAGCGCCCCCAGCCAGACATGAAGAGACGCTTCCAGATCTTCAAGGACATCCGAAACGTCAACCGGAAGACTCGCAGAATGGTCGACGAGGCCTTCCCCCGTGCTATCATGTACCACCAGCGCGACTGGGGCGACACCAACGACCACGACGTCAAGGAGGAGATGTGGCCTCCCATTTGGATCTGCCCTGACGCCGACATCTGGCAGTTCAGACTGACGCACCCGCGCCTGGCCGCCGAGCAGTTCAACCGCGCCCTCGGAGCCTTCTGGTCCCCCGACCTCACGCCCGAGTCGAAGGAGATCGTGAAGCACATTCAGACGTTGAAGGTCCGAAACCTCAATTTCCTGATCAACAGATTCGAGACCCAGTGGGAGCTGGCGGCTCTGCCGAACCTCAAGAATATCCATATGATCACCAGCTGCTTTTGGCCCCCCACCATGGCGAACGCCGACCTGGAGTATCTCTGGCCCATCGACCAAGGCGTGGCCTCGCTCCCCCACTTCCCCCACTTCTCTTCAGCCCAGCTCAACCACGCGTTCGGTAAGCTGTGGGAGAAAGGAGTCAAGATTACCATGGTTGACAGATTCCCGACTGTTTCCAGTGTCGTCCTGGAGATGATTGACACTCATTATGGTGTCCATGTACGTCGCCTTCCTTGAACACAGTGATCGACGCCGACGCCCTCGATGCCCCCGACGTTTCTGTGTCTTCTCGCCAAGCTGATTTTGTTCAAGCGAGCTCCATGAGGAGAAATTGGAATGATCTGGAGGCATGCGCGTGGAGTTGCTGGGCTATAGGTTGCGGGTAGGCGGAAGGAGGCTACAAGACGTGTGACAAGGGCGATGCAATGGCAAGAAGGAATTGTTATCAGATCAACAGAATGAACCATAGGAAGACGAAGACGTCTTGATATTGCGCTAAGCTGTTCCTCTCCTCGCTGAAGTCCCGAATCATGCGGAAGACATAACGTAGGCTGGCAGAAGGGGCAAGTCATGACCTTGAGGAACAAGTTCAACGTAAGCTGGTCGGTATCCTGAAACAAATATTCAAGAGGCACCTCCGAAAGATACATTTTGAGGGGTGGTTCAGGAATATGGACGACGGTAATTTGAAACTTCAACTTGAATTCGCCTTCGAGGAATGCGTCGACCAAGCCGGAGCACGAGATACAAACTCACAAAACTTCCCGAATTGATTCTCGAATAAATTATGAACGTCTTGCATATTTCAATCAGTCATATTGCTCCCTCTTTCAAAGGCAGCGGATGTAGTCGTTGCTTGACATGTCCCTGGGCAACGAAACGTACCACTGAGACCCAAAGCCCATCTCCTCCATCATCTGCTTCCTCTCCGTCTCAACCGGATCCAGGTGACAACGGCATTCCTGGTCGGTAAATCGAATCATCAGGCCCTCGGGCATTTGCACGAGCTCACTGCGAGTTATTATGTCCTCTTCAACAAAATCCGTATACCCGGTCAGCTCAAATCTCACACCACGCTTGAGTAGCTTTCCCCACAAGTGTTCCAGTCCGAATGGTTCTCGCTCTGCAGTCATCGCCGCGTATGGGTACATCGATTCATAAATGGGAATCAGTTTCCCGTGGCGGTGGCGGTCCTCTGAGTTATCCGGTACCTGGCGTCCCCGTCCCCGTAAGCCCCACAAGAGGCTTGGATGAGCTCAAGCGCAGGAAGGAATTCAATACAGCGGATCTCCTCTGGGCAACGATCATGCAGCATCCTTCTAATGCCATCAATTCTGATGATCCTCACGTGCTGAAGGAGAGCGGCAGCAGCAGGCGTTGGGTTGAGATAGACCTCTCGCATTGCTAACATTTCATTAAATCTGTACAGTCTGCCGTCATCATCATTTATGTAGTCTCTCGGCTGGACTGGGACCCAGTCCAGAGACTACTGATCTCTCAAAGTCGGCAGGTAGAACACGTCGATGCTGGGACATACCCAGGCGTACCCAGGGTCGGTACGGCCCTTCTCCGAATGCCGCACAAGGGAAACCCGGGGAAGCTATTTTCAACAATCTGGCGGGAGTTGCGGTTGATTTGGGTGGCGCTTCTGAAGACAGCATAACGGTATTTGTGTCTGTTTAGATGCCTTATGAATTATGGGATCGGAGACAGATGAATATAACACATGGATGTCGCCCATGTGTGGCAGTCGAGGAACCAATGTGCCGAGGTAGTCACAGCCAAGGCATTGTCAACCATGGCTTCGATTATGAGGAGGAAGCTTTCGTAAGGGGGGATAGGGTTTGGTTGTAAATCGTTCTGTGGAGCTCTTGATGTCTCCATTTGGCAGTCGTTTTCTGGTGGCTGCGACATGTCGAGCTTGAGATTTCCGGATGGTCTTATCTGCGAGACGGATTGGCTTTGAATGAGATGCGAGCTTGAAGCTATGCAATGTTTGGATTTGGGTGATGCCTGGCCAGATGATTGGTTCATGAAGGTGTAACAAGGGAATTCCTTTTATATTCTAGCTTGACAGTGGTCAAATCACAGCGTCGTCGATGGAACCACGACACCCGTACGGTGAATGTAGGCAAAAAGAACCCAACGGAAAGGGATGAAAAAAAAAAAGGAAACCTGATTTACTACAACATAACTTCCGTATGCGAGTTATCTGACGCGGTACCGTTGTGTTCTGCTTTCCAACCATTAATCTTCCTTATAAAATACTATTGAAGTTCATAGTTAATCTTCATAGTTGGGCACGAGAGGAGCTATTCCTTTCCGTCTTGCGCTTCAAATGACTTGCTTGACGCGGTCTTGCAGCCATAAGAGCTGCGAGAAGTCCTTTGCGATGCCATAATCCGGGATATTAGCTAAAATCGAAAAGCACCACAGCATTCTCTCCAGTTTGAACCAATCCAGGTCGGGTCTGACGCAGGCCGCGACGTGCGCAGAAAAATACAACTTCATTGATATGCCTACTGCAGCACGGGCCATGCATAAAACAGTGGAAGCGTCTATTGACTTGTGCCCTGCCTCGATGGTCGATTTGAAGAATGCTGCGAAGCAACTCAGAACACCTTTGAGGTCTTGGATTGGATTCGGCAAACAGCAGGCTCGTCGATATTTGTGGCACCAACCTAGAAATCGCCCATGGTGACACTACTCGACAGACAATTATAAGGTGACGATGCATATATTCTCGCCGCATGTGTGGTCTGGACGGTGGAAGCACTAGAGGTAGCTCGCAGAGTCCTTAGCGGGAACATTGGAACAGCACCCTCAAGGTGCATAGAATCGCAGAAGGTGAGTCACCCGCTCTACTCATTTCTAATAAACCATGACTATAAAAGATCTTGTTATCTTTGTTGTCGTCTCTGGTGTGGTCATCGGCCTCTGGCATGGTCGCCGGTCTCAGGCATGGTCGTTGGTCTCTAAGGCACCTTCTCCATCCTGCCCTTCTTCGCTCCTTCTCTCTGGAGTGCCTCCTGCCTGGACTCCAAGAATCTCCACCTCAGGTAGAATATAAATAGAGCTGCATCACATCAGTTGTACGCACAAACTTCTCTCCTCTAACTACACAACATTGGTTCACATTCTGCTTCAAACGGGCACTGGACGAGGCCGTAAAGGTCGGGCCACACAAACACACTCAAATTCTCATCCTTTCTCCGATACAAATTTGCTACAAGACCATCTCCAGATCGCGCCTCCTACATGAAAAGAACAAAAGGACCTCTCTTCGCCCCATCCAAAGTCTTCTTTGAGAACTTCAGCCCTCCACACCACAAGCTGACCTCACGTTCATTGCGCCTGCTGCTCAGGATAATCACACTATCGAACGATCCCTTTCAGTCACCGCGCCGAATTTCCACTGTTGTTATCTTCACTCACATCGTTCTCATTACAACACATCTCAATCATCATACACCAACCCACCTCTCAGCAGATCGACCTTCACAATGGCGAAAGCCACAGGAACCCCTCCCTCGTCCATCTCCACGATCTTCAGAAAACTCCCTTATGAGCTAACTCTCATGATCGCTGACGAGCTGATTTCGGCTACCACATCAAACCTGCAACCTCACCACTTCGAATTCTACAGCCACGCACAGACGCTTCAAGTTGTACGTCGCGTCTTTTGTAGAAGGTGGGGAGACTCTGAGGCTTTGGCAAAGGAGCGATATATTGAGATTCGCACCATCCTCCAAATCAACCAAAGAATACGAAGAGCTGCTCGTAAAGCCTACCTACCTCTCGCAGAGAACAACCAGAAGGAATGGGTTTGCCTTGAGAGGGACGTCTTTGTCCTCGACAAACACATGCTGCAACCAGCTGAAACCTTTCAGCACCTGACGCCTCACAATCTCCATATCCTTCAAAACTTGCGGAACATCGTTATCGCACCCTACGACGCCCACTTCTTGAGAATTGGAGTTGGCTCCCGTGGCCTCCGACTGATGGGGAGTGTGACCTCCATCGGCCTCATCAACGCCGCTTTCGAAGGGCTTGCTGACGCCAGAGAGCGTCGTCTCGAGGATGGCAACCCTCTCGGCTTAGTCCCACTGTCGCAGGTCATACAAGATGCGCACCCGTCAGTTAGTGGAATACCTTCTTTGAGGGAGTTGGACACTTCTCTTTCACACGTCCTGGGAAGATTGAAGAGCAAGAACGTCCGCATCTTCATACAACTGTGGTGCCACGACATATTCGAACAACGCAACAAAGAGAACAGCTTTGATATCATCAGCTGCCCCGATGAGATCAAAGTATGGTTATCATAGGCTATGGACCCCTAGGGGTCTGGAATTTCGAGTGGTGGATAGGGCGTTTTCACAGAATACAGACGGGAAGGTTCCGGAACAGCGAGCGGTGGTTGGGGGGAGTTTCATTGCGTATTCTAGCTTTTCATTTTCGATCGCACACTTGGGACATTACAGCATAATGGACATCATTATCAATAGACATCAGGATCACATATCACGGTTACAGGACTGGTCTCTTTCTTTGTCGAGCCACTGCACAATGTTGTTTGTTGTGTTTGACGTCCTTCTTGCTGTATAGAACTCCTCGTTTGGCCAAAAGCTCTTCCTTCTTCCAAATCCATTAATCAGCCAAGCGCGACGATGAGCCACCAGAAGACACCGTCGAAATCTGCCTCCCATCTTTCTCTCTTCAAACCTGGGTCTGAACCATAAACTTGCAGCCGCTACACTCGCTAGGGAGCAGCTTCATGGCGACGCCATCCTTAGTACCGACAATCTCGATGAGCAATCTCTCAACATCATCGCGGAAGCCGTAGACGCGGACGCCCTTCTTCTTCAAGGGCCGGAAGACAGCGTTGAACCCAGCCCCATGGGTGACGTTCCAGATCGCCAGGGCGGGGAACATCTCATAGTCGATGGGCATCGGACCCTCCTTCAAGTCGCGTCCTCGGCAGGGACTCTGGAAGCTTCTGACGTCCATGATGACGTCCTTCAGATTCGGCAGGGTAGAGAGAGCCGCGACGCTAGAGGCGTTGTAATCGGACCAGAAGCATGACGAGGGCGTGACAACGCGCTGGATGGACTGGATCAAGGCGGCGGCCTGCGGGGTCGGAAGCATCATTGCCTGTCTGAAGTAATCCTCCTCTTCGATAGGGAAGGAGTCCGGGTCGGCGGCAAAGCAGGGGATGAAGACGTCGTTCTCAGGGCGGATCCAGACGTCGACGGGCATCTGGCGATTGTGGGAATGAGCGCGGATGAACTTGCGATGGACCATGGCGCGTGTGGCGCGGTTGATCTGCGAGGGCAGGCGGATGTGGTCGAAGCGGTCCTTCAAGTTGGGGGTTTGGCGGAGGCGGGGCAGCTGATCCCAGACAGCAAGCTTGGTAGGGGAGGCGTAGTCGTAGTAGAGGGTCCACACCTTTACGAGTGTGCAGGCCTCGGCCTCGGTGATGAGAATGTCGATGATGTTGAGAAAGACATCGTAGGGGAGGGAAGCTGGGCCGGCTTTGCCGCGGGCTGTCTTCTGGAGAGGCATGGCCATGGCAATTTGGCTCTTGCTGAGTTGAGAATGAGATGGAAGAGCAAACGTCTGATTTTGTTTTTGCCAGAAAAGTGAGAGCAAGATGTGGAGAGGTGACTGACGAACGGAGGCTAGATGGAGTGTGAGAGCCTTGAGACGGTGCCTCGACTTCTCGAGTGCTGCGGATGCTCGCCTTGGTTGGTGCAGGTGAATGTGCGAGATGAAAGTGTCAGGTGAAATGCAGCGGCGAGGGCGTCGGAAATTCTTTGAAAGAAACTACCTGCTGGGACTGCTGCAATTAGGAAGTGTCTAGGCAAGTGAATGAGATTTACCGGATTTAAAAAGCAATCGATTTATTTTTTTCTTGTTTGTGGGATTCTAGTTTGTTTGCTTCGTTGGCGATGCACCTTCCCGGCAACGGCTCCATCGATGCCATGGACTTGGATGGAATCATGGTGAAAACTTGGTCTGCAGGCATCCTAGGCCCATCAATCATTGCGGATGATATAAGAAAAAACCAAGCAAGCCATTTTTCCGCGACAGTTGTGAAGAATTCGTTCTTTCTTCCTCCCAACCTCATCGAGGTTCAAACACCATCCCCAAACATCGCAACCATGGCATCCGGGATGTCGAGCAAACGCGGCGTTCCATACGAGATCTTCCTTAACATCATCGACATGCTCATCTCTGAAGCCGCAGCGCGTGCAACTCCTTACAAGTTCTCGCTCACATACATGTACGAATCCCCAACCAAAATCGCAATCAACCCATTTCCGCCTCCCCTATCTCCTAATGCCTCGATCGGCCCGGAGGAAATCATGAGAGAACGCTTTTACGACATTCGTCTGGCTTCTAAGATCAACCGCAAGACACGAGGTCTAGTTCACAAGACTTTCCGCCGAATTCCGATGGACCGTTACCCCTTCATTAACGCCTGGATCCTTCCTGAAATCGACGACTTCATCCCGCTCAACTTGAAAGACATCGAATACGATTACCTTGACCAAGGGTACGATCAAGCAATCTTCCTGCCTACTCCATCGGGACACGTCGCGCTTGAAGCCATCGAACGCATCAATCTTCCTGCCTGGGAATATTTCAAGCCTTCAAACGCCATCCGTGTGGCCACACTTCTTGCCCTTCCCAACCTGAAGCAGATCTCGGTTGAAATTGGCGGTGTCGATCCTCGACAAGGCTTCGGCAATGTCCACCATGGAATCAGGCCACTTGACGAGAAGAGGTTTTACTCACTCGCCAAGTGGATGCGCGACGTTCCCCAACTTCGACGCATGTGGGCCCCTTTCAAAAAGAAGGGTGTGAAGCTGTACGCGGAAACAAGTTTCACCGGCATCATGCTCATGGAGCTGTATCCCGCCAAGAAGAAGATGAATGCTCGATACCTGCGACCGAACTGCGACTGCGACGAGTGCAAGGCCATCCAGGAAACGGCAGCTTGAAGATGGGTGAGACCGATGGGGTTGGTCTTCAGTCTCGTGGTGCGGCCAAGTCGTGCCACTAAGCTTAAAGATAAGACTAAGGATTTCGGGCTCAACGAGGGCATCCCCAGGGGAAGGATACGGTAACGAGGTGGTGGTTTTGGTATGGATCGGATGGACCCCTATGTGTACTGCTATCGCGGAAAAATGGCTCGTTTGGTTCTGTTTTCCATATCAATAAAGGCTCAAGAGATTCATCAGTCCTCATCTGTTGTCCTCATCTCTGTCCCCGTCTCCTAGCTCTGGGTGCCGTCGCTGTCGCTTGGTCTCGTCGCACTCGTCCTCATCTCTCATCCTCGTCTACCACTCTCGTCCGTCGTCTTCGCCCCCCCCNCCCCCCCTCCTTCCGAAAACCTAACTTACCTTTTCAGGAAATTTCAGATGCCTTCATCTACCATTTGAAATTTCTCGCTTCTTCGAACAAGGCTTCCTGCTCATATCGTCGCCGCCATCGCCATCAGAATTGGCGTCGTCGTCGTCATCGTCGTCATCGTCGTCGTTGCCTACCGCTTTTACTGCCCTTCGCTGCAGTCCTGCGAATTTTCACCCACCATGGTTCCCCGGTCAAAGGCGTCATCCTCCGTCCTTCCATATGAGGTGTTTCTCATTATAGTTGAGTACCTCATCGCCGGTATCGAGGCAAGACAGCACGGTGAGATTGCATGGGCCTATGATCGACATTATTTTCCCTGCAAGCTTGTTGTGGGCGATCTCGGCTTGGAGGACCCCTTTGCGGAAACGATAAAACAAAGATATCGAGATCTCCGACTGCCCTCGCAGATCAACCAAAAGAGCCGCCAGATGGTTTACCAGATCTTTCAACCGGTACCTGTACGTCGCAGTGTGAGGTTCTGGGACGGTGCCCTCGGCCCGATCCTGCCCGTCGGCGCTCTGATCTTGCCGGAAGTCGACGTCTTCGTCCCATACCATGCTGCGCCCCGGGCCGAATCCTCTCATAGAGAGAGTTTCTTCCATCAGACGATCCAACCAACCATCCTCGACCTGATCCAAATCATATACCTGCCAGAAATCTGCAGCCTCAGCTCTCACAACCATGAGGCCCTCGAGGCTCTGCTCGCCCTTCCCAATCTCAAAACCATCACGGCCGACGTCAGCCTCGACATGACAGGCCCAGACGAGATGGAACTTTTCCACGATGGACGTCGCCCTCTCGCCCTGGATTGCCACTTTTTCACCGACTTATGTTACCGGCGCATGTTCTACATGGATCGGAATCTTTACTCTATCTGGAGTAGATTTCAGAAGAAGGGCATCAGGCTGTACGGAGTAATCGGAGTCCAATGTCAGCACCAAAAGTACATCATGGAGATCTTCCCCTCGGAGGATGGTACTGTGATCCAATACATCAACTCCAACTGTCCATGCTGCCCGAGACGGCCAACATCGGAGGGAAGAAAGCTGGCGTCAGAGGGCGGGCCGGAGCTGGGCTACTAGAGTTTCCAGTTTCCACAGACAAGGCCAGAGAAACCATACAGAGAGAAATGTAGAGACAGACTCGGAAAGAATTGTGGTAGACCGGTGCTGCAGATGATCAGAGAAGACCGGACGAGAACCAGAAAGGACCAACTAAGGACCACTTTCTGGTCTCGGAGATAGAAAAAACCGCAGACAGAGCCGGAGGGAACGAGTACCGGAGAGCAAGTACAAAAACAGAGGAAGGAAACGGATATAAACCTTTCGCTATTGGGTAAGGACGGGGAATAGAAACAAGGAAGAACTTCAGATAAAGGAGCCACGTCACACTTATGACATGACAACACGAACAGTTGCCGCAGCCCGTGACGGAGAAAAGACACTTGGCGGCTGAGTTGAGAACGGGCCTGGAATATTAAAGTTACAAAGTCAGAGCCAGAGAGGTTCAAAGAACTAATCAGGGCAGAACTTGATTGTGAAACATGTGGCTAGACCGAGGCGCCGGGTAGGCATAAATTACAAAACAACAGGTTTGCATCAAGGGGCAGAGACACAAACATATCACAGTGACAGAGAACAAAGTCAAGGAACGCAACCAAGTCACATTCAACTCAGTAACTTTCCCGAGGGTTGCATTCTCACCTACCCATAGTTTCAGACATGAACCACGGTCTTGGCATCGCGTGGTAGTGTAGTCGACGCTCACGCTCCCGTCCGGATCGGATCATTTATAAACACTATGGATAGCTCCGCATCTCGCTGCACCGAGCATCACACACGATAAATTCGGCCAAGCCGAGCATGACACCGACCACTTGGCACTCCGAAGTTCTCTTGCGTTGCCGAGAGTGCCGGAGTCAGGCGACGAGGGCGATCTCAATAGCTCTGGTGCTCTTCATGACTCGGGCAGGGGTTAAAAATAATAGCATCGAGTTTGACTACGCAGTCTCATGCCCAAACTCTAAATTCCTCAACGACGGGCCTCGCGGCATGCTATGCAATAGAATCATCGCAACAGATTGATTGATCCCACCGGTGAGGTCCACATCAATCTATCCATGCGGGAAGTGGAGATGCCATGTAAGTCATATGGCAAGAAGCGACTCAATACAAAAGTCGGCGACATTTCTCCCAGGACGCTGCACCCTGGCTTCCCGACCAACTCTCTTTTATTGACACTGCCGCAAAACTCTCCTCAAACAACGTCGAAAAAAGAACAAACACATACACAAACACGATTCAACACCATGCGTTCCTCCGTTTTCGTCACGATCGCTGCCCTGGCCATCGGCCAGGCCGCGGCTCAGATGCCGGCTCGCGTCCAGCCTCTGGCGCCCCGCCAGAGTGTCGAGACGGAGTGCAACACCGTGCCTGAGTGCGGCAGAGGCAACCTTGGCGCGACTTGCCAGGTGACCTGCATCGACAACGTAAGTAAACACCGGCTTCAGTTATCTGGTTGTGAGAGGTTCTCGTCGCTGACATGTCTGGCCGGGGATGTAGCCTGGAGGCGAGCGCAAGCGCACCGGCACCTGCAAGGATGGCACTTTTGGCATCAGCTGCTACTAGGAGAGGTCAGATTTGGCCTTGGTGTTGGGACATGAGAGGTCTCTACTTTCGAATTGAGCATCGACATATTGGGAGGACCAGCATGAGTGTTATACATATATCCAGTGAGCGAACATTGCAGCAGTTGAGAATTGATTTTTTTCAGTTGCACAGGGGTGTTCTAAGAGTGACTGGACCTGTCATGCCGGGAGGGCACTGACGAGAAGCTTCGTCCGTCCTATCCTTTTGCCGCGAGAGGTTCATCGCATATCCATCCAACTCTACTCACGTGAGTCATTGTCAACTAATGTTCCAAACCCTGAACCGTGATACCGAAGATGATCTCAATTTCCTATGACAGCGTTCGTCGTCTATTCAGGTAAATGCCAAGAACGGCACAACCAGTCCGAGTCTTTCCCCCAGATGCGAGCATCACATGATCTGTTCTTCCCGGTAAAAGCCCATTGTCCTCAGTTATCCCCTGCTGTGGTTCAAAGCGCGAGCAACTGAACCATCTCCAACGCCTCCTCCGCAATGGACTCATCCTGAGCCGGGCGAGGCTCGCCCGGGGGGTAGAGAATAACCGTAACGTCGCCTTCCTCAGGAGTCAACTCCATCACCTTCTCGAAATCCGCATTCCCGGCTCCGTAGAGCTTGATTCCTCTCTTCCCGTAGGGGCGCCACGTATCGTGCAGGGAATAGGCCGTGCCGGTAGTCCACAGGTCCTGGAGGTCGGGGAACGTGTCCTGGTTGACCATGATCAGGCCGCTGTCGAGGTAAGCGTCCTCGAAGTGCTTCTTGTTGTACCGGCCGATGCTGACGAAGACGTCTCGAAGGTTCGGCAGCTTGGCAAAGTGCCCCATGATGTTGTGGTAGCTCTTGCTCAGGCAGGCCAGACTGGGAAGGTAGAGGTGCTGCACGTGCTGGAGCATGGCGTGGCCTGCGGGTGTGGGCTTGGAGATGGCTTGGACGAAGCCGGCGATATCCTCAGGCTCCACCAGTCGGGTGATCAAGGGCATCACCATGACCTTGTCGAGGTGAGGGATGACCCAGGCCTCCACGGGGGCGAGGGTCTCATTGTAAGGCAAGGCGAGTGGGACGCGAACGAACTTTTTGTGCACGAGGGCGCGCGTCTTGGTGTTGACCTGGGAGGCGAGCATGATGGAGCGGAAGCGGGTCTTCAAGGGATAAAGCAGCTGCTTTTTGGCCTCGTCTTCGTCTTGAGAGAGGATGAAGGCGAGCTTGGAGGGGACGCGAACGAACTTTTTGTGCACGAGGGCGCGCGTCTTGGTGTTGACCTGGGAGGCGAGCATGATGGAGCGGAAGCGGGTCTTCAAGGGATAAAGCAGCTGCTTTTTGGCCTCGTCTTCGTCTTGAGAGAGGATGAAGGCGAGCTTGGAGGGGACGCGATGCTGGTAGTACATCCAGAAAGAGAGAGACTCCTGGCAGGCTTCGGCCTTGGCGATGAGGGTGTCCACGACGAGAAGGAAGACTTCGTAGGGGACGGGGCCCCGACCGTTTTCGACAGGCTTGCTGAGGACAGGCATTCTGGCGGGTGTCGATGGCGTTGGCCCGAGTCGGAGGTAGGTTGGAGAAGAATTGTCTAGAGCAACTGTGTTAGAAGAAACGCACGACATTGGGTTTTGAACGAAAGATCTTAACAAGAGACCGGATTGATGAGATGTGATCATAAACTCACCTGTCAGACCAAACAAGCACCCTCGAGCAGCTATGGAGCTGGTGTTGCTGAAGCGAGAAAGACGGCTGGCTGGTTTTTGGCTGTGCGCGTTGAGAAATATTTGCGCTTGTTAACTTGAGAGGCGAAGAAATTTTCTCGCTGGCGAAAAAGAGCAGCTTGTCCAAGTCCAAAGGGAACCAGAGGCCCAGTCTCATGCGCCTTCCCATTGAAATCAGTTTTCACCTTCATCTCTGAACAAACGGATTTGCCGAGGGCCGCCCACATCAAGCAAACATACTACCGTTTGACAACTCACATCATGGCGTCAAAGAAATAATATGCACGCACCGCATCCTTATTCAAAGTCCTTAATAAGGAAAGGACCCACATGCCATATGTGATATGGACTTCATGTCTGTCTAAGTTGTTGTGCTGCCTGGGATGCAAAATGCGTCTTGATTATTACATTTGCCCATGTGTTCGTGCCCCAGACCCAGTTGCCCTCAATAAACCAACCTCCATGCTGGAGTCCGTACGTCCCCATGTTTCTTCCAGTCTCTCAATCATATGTCGCATGTGCAAATAGGATTGATGAGTCTGCTTCGCAATCCATCCGCAGTAGGTACCAATTCCAGCTTCCTCCTCTCCGCGCTCCCTCCCATACCCACAAACACTTTGATGCCCCTCTCTTCCGCTCGCCAACAGAAGTATTCCAGCGCCTGGCGATGCCAACCAGTCCATCTCCCTATTGTCGGGAAGAAGTACCCGCTCAGTGGTATGAGCTCATCACTGGGATGGGGATGATCAATTTCGGGATACCGATAGCTCGCACTTGTGATGACAACTTCGGAGTTCAACGTTATCTCTTTGATGTTGGGGAGTGCCAATATTGAATCGACGTCGGCTTCGTATTCTTCCATTAGAAAGTCTCGTGGAAAGCCTTGAATGTTGACGAGGGATTGGACCAAGACCCGGTCCTGAGCTAATGGGTACTGTAGAGCCTGTCTGAATTGAATGCAATCGCTCGGCATGGTGCATAATATCGGATTGAAAAGATCCGTTTTCGGATGCACCCATAACGGAGATGCCTTCTTGCTGTATGAATCCCAAAGCGTGATGCGCGGAAACTTGCGCAGGGCCATGCCGCGAGTCTTGCTGTTCACCTGCAGAGCAAGACGTAGTTGTTGAAATCTTCTCTTTCTATTCCGTAGTGTCCATCTCGGATTTGAGAACAAATCGGTGACTTGTACGTCAAGTTGCGACTCGGGTTCAGAACGCGACGACAGGTAGAAGCAGAGATCCATCGGCTCCGCGGCGACTTCGGCTTCGAGAATGAGAATGTCGACTACGTTGAGGAAGACCTCGAATGGAAGCGAAGGCGCGACTGAACAGGCCGTCATCGCCGATAGGATGTGCTCGTCGCGAACCTGATTGCGTCCACCTTATCTCTGTAGGGATTGAAGAAACCAAATGTTTTGCGCCGCGGGGAAAAGAGAGGCTATGGCGAGAAGGTTCTACGTATGAGTCAGTTAACTGAGCAAGAATAGTCTGAACGCTTCATTGCGTACTTGCGACGGTGTCGGGGTTCGGTGAGGCACGATAAGATGATGGCCAGGGATTTGCGCGTCGTTGTTGCATCAGGTCAAATTGACCTCGGCAACAGACAGAAATATCCCGACAAGGCACAAGAACGTCGGGAGGCTGGGCTGACCAGACGCCACTGTCAGCGGATAAAAGTAGACAAAGACGGTGCCGACGCGACTACCTACCCCAAAGGACAGGCTTTCTTACATGTGGACAAACACTAAAGAAAAACAGGATAGGGGTGATGGGGGCGTGACAGATCCAAGTAAGGACTTACGCGCTACACGGAAGAATGGGATTCGCTGACGTCGGTCACGATGGCATCCATGGATATGTCTGACATCGGTCACGATGAATCATACCACCCGGAAGATAAACTTGAGTTGCCCGAGTCGTCCAACGCACTCAGCGATCCCTTATAGCATCGGCACTCGGGATGAACAAACTTCATTCTTGTGCCGGCTGGGGTTTGAATCAACTCGATCGTCTTCCAGAACCAAAAGAATCGCGGGTCGATGCAAAAGATTTTGATGCCCCTTGCACGAGCTTTCTCCGCCCATATTGCGTAATTATCGTTCGCTTCGTCGTCGTTGAAGTACAGTGCCAGCTCTGGGAAGAGATCTGCGTCAATTGGGAGCAAGTCGGCATGGGAGTGCAGCTTTTTTGGGACCGGTACTGGCTCGAACTCATCACTGGTGTATCCGATGTTGATGTTGATCTCGCGCAGATTTGGCAGGGCGTAAACGGTCTCGAGTTCCGGGACCCAGCCCTCGCCGAAAAAGTAGGGCGGAAAATCGTGGACTACCTCGATGCTCTTGACGAGCCGGGCGTCGAATGGCGTCGGACTCTCGATTGCACGCTTGAGATTGCCCTGTTCTTCATCGGCGTCGGTATTGAGGTAAAAAAGATCTAACTTTGGACAGACCCAGCCCATGTGTCTCGATTGGGGCCTGGCAGTTCGCATGGGAAAGGGGACAAAATGCTCGTGGATAAGTCGTCTAGTATGACGGTTGATTTGCAAGGGCGCGCGAATGCTGCGGAAGCGTCTCATCTGGGTGGAATCGTGCTGCCAGGCGAAGCGGGTGTGAATGAGAATATCAAGCTTGGAGTCGTGTCTCGTGTCGGAGTAGGTGAGAACCATTGCCATCTCGTCTGCTATCTCCACGGCTTGGGTGACGAGGGCTTGCAGGATGGCGAGGACAATTTCCGGCGGCAAAGACGCAGTCATCGACGACCGGCGGATGGTCGGCTGAGGCTCTGTCTTAGGCGACGCATCCCAGGCGATGCTTGAGTTGCTTGACTGATCGGAATCGTAGTAGTCCATGATGTGTGGGCGCGGCACTGCAGCAGGATGAGGAACAGCGGTCGAACGCAAGGTGTGGGAAGGCAAGTGGTTTATCCTTTTGCATTGATATCTAGGATATGAAAAAGGAGTTTCCAATCATGCGAGGGCCGAGAGGCAGAGAAGTGATATGTGAAGTGAATGACGATCCTTCCAGTGGTGGACTGAGACATGGATTCAGAATCCGCATTCAGCGATGTGAAGCCTGACGACAAATGCAAACAGTCAGCGCGGGGAACTTGAGGAGACATATGCCGGTGATACGTCCGAGAACGTTTTGAGCCTCCATTCCATCAACGTCGCTCAATTCGTTTCTGGTGGAGGTGTATTGTTCGTGGATGAAGTAGTCAAGGATGTTGCGATGTCGACCCAGCGGAGTAGGTACATGCTGTTCGGATAGCGGTCCAGCATTCGGGATAGAACCAGTTGACTTGTAGAATGATGCGTTCCGACCGACATCTTCGGGTCTTTCTGGTATAATTGACAGGAAGTACAAGTATCAACGAGAGGTAGATCGCGAAGCGGAAAATAGCATCGACGTGTTCTTTGGTTTGCATGACGTCCGTACTTTGCGCTGGGTCGAAGATAGGCAGCCTCGGCAGGCCTTGATATTTATGTTCCACAAGATGCCGTGTTGGACAGGCCAAGCCAGGTTCAACCCTTGCTTGTGCAACCGCAAGACCGCAGCCTCTTTGTTGCCTCTCAAGTTGCTCGAGATAAATGAGACGGTGCATTGAATGAGGCGGTGACGGGTAGCTGCATGGAAGGCAACCACGGCAGGGAGCTGCTTTTTGGGGGCTGGCAGTTTCCTTGCCAGAAGGTGGAGTTGGAAATGTCCTTCCTTCCTCTTCTGTTTTGCCATCCCATGCTGGGCGCTTCTCATTCTTCCACCACCAGCAACTGGAACAGAGTGAGTGGGCTTGCTCTTGCAAACTTTGCAGCGGCTTATTGTGCAAGGAAATTTCATAGGTAAGTTAAGCGGCCAATTTCCAAGCCCAGAGCTGATGGTCGATGCGTTACAGATCACGGCACTTTCGACTTCAACCGAGATCACCAAACCATGTGCATTTGGTGGATTTGTTTCGGAGACGACTGGGACGACACCGAGTTGGATAACAACGAAGACGAGTGGTGGCCTTGGAGCCTCTTTTGGCATCAGACTTCTATGCAGTACGCGGCGCAACGCCAATTGGAGTGGGACAGTGACAATGACGGCCACCACGGCCATCATGGAGACACCAACGAGTCCGACGACGACCATGACGACGACGATAATGACGATGACGATGACGACGACGATCATGATGACGACGATAGCGACAGTGACGACAGCGATTAGCTGTACGAGGAAAGCCCGAATGCCCACATGCCCCCTCAAGCTACCTCCGAGAAGCCATCAGAATCGCAATATTGCCGGTGCAAGGCGTGTGCAAGGGAACCAGGCAGCAACGGCACCGTGACTGATAGTTTATCCCTCCAAAACGCTCTGCCGGGTCGAACTTGGACTTACTCAATCCCAGCGGAAATCTTTCTCTCGATCTTCAAGTTCCTCTTCGAAGACGCTCTATTTACCGCCAATCCCATCATTTGGATTTTGGAACTGCCATGCCATCAAATGCCTGGACTATACATCTGCATATCCAAAGGATAAGCACGAGCAATTATGTAGATTTAAATCATTCCGCCTCATTCTGGCTATCAACTCCTCTACGAGGCAGATGGCCAGGCGGATAATTTCCTGCCCGCCACTTGACGAGAGCCACTTTCGGAGTTGCCGCTGGGTCATCTTCAGGGTTGACTCTTTCCAGCCAGACGTTGCTTCACGCAAAACGTTCCCGAGTTGCCCTGCCAGCGAGAATATTGTTTGAAACATGGTCAACCCCTCTCTACGCTTCAGCTGTGTGTTTTATGCGTACTATCACTGGCTTCTAGATCCGCGTCTTCCAACGCAGACATGCCATGGTCATTTACATACTTTCACGCCTGCCTTTCTTAGAAGAAATTTATGTCGTAATCGGTGCTGTCCATCGAAAAATGACAGGCCACATGGACGAGCATTCGCATGGGAGTCTCCAGGCCATCGACGAAATGGTCTTTGCTGACTTGGCAACTTGGAAGGGGATCCACGGGGCGGACTTCAGCAAGCTTGCGAGACTACTTGACGAGACTGTTTTTAATGGGGAGACGGCAGTGAGTAAGAAGCCAGTCGATATCATATTGAAGGGGTCACAGGAGGGTCTCAACGCGAAGATTGCGAAGTTCATTGCTACGAATCAAGGACCTCGAATGTCTTTCCTTCATCCAGACTGCCGCGGTGAGAATGTAACTTCCCTGGCGACTGCTCAAGATTCTAGCTGGGAAGTGCAGCAAACCTCCAACCCTCATCCCACCAGTCCCTGGCCACATCTTGACCTTTTAACGTTGAAAAGGTTGGAATCTGGACTGCGGTGGTTACCGTACAAATTCAGGATGGAGCGTCCATCACCTCGGTGGCAGTTTATAAAGGTCTTGTCAAAGTAGATAATGTAGCAATAATCTGAGAATCTGAATGTTCCTGATTTTGAGGCTTCGGCATACATTGTAGTATTTACGGTAAGATCTGGTGCCGACCCTGGACTATTCTTCGAAAACGTGAGTTCCAACCAGGAAAAGAAACGGTCAAGCCTTTCAACGTGAATCCTCTCTTTCCTTCCAGAATGCCTCAACTTTGTCCCATTCTGGATCCGTTTTCTTGGTGGAAGATTCCTTCTCGCGGCGGTGGACGAACCATATCCATTCCAGGAATAGCCTGTCTCGTGGTGTGGGATACTTCACTGCATGCATGAAGTTGCTTTCGGGATGCCAATCTGCTGCGCCCCCGCGATGTAATTTGTCCACTTCTAGGAATATCAGGAACCGAACATTCTCATGGAACTCAGGAGCTCCAGGATTGAAATGCAGGAACCTGTAGGGACTTATGAAATCAGCGGGGGTACGGATGTCGACGTGAGCTTGGAGAACCCTCCGATGGACTAGTCTTCTGGTATCGTGACAGATACTCAACGGGATCCGGAGAGCACGATAGCGATTCTTCTGTGCTAAAGCGTCGTCGTAAAGACGCTCTTGTTTCGTGTACAGCCTGAAGGAAAGGAGATCGCCACATGGACCGGGCCAGAAGACGTATGGCTTCTCGCGGCATTGAAGGCTTAGATGCAGAGGCTTTTCGGATGAAAGGTAGGAAAACCCCTCTTCGATGAGAATCCCGATGATCAGGATGGTGATGTCCCAAGGGATGTAGGGCCTTGTGCCTGCAACATGGACAACCAGCTCAGCAACCCGTTGACTTTCGGGGGTTTACTCGGTCTTACAACTGAGTGTTATGGTCGTCTACTGACCTCTTGGCTTTAAGCTCCGCTCCCGGATACTAGTCATATTTTTCGGCACCAGGAATGTTCTGTAACGACCATGTCTTGATATAGGTTTCCCACCAGGGCCAAGTGGATAAAACCCTTTTTGGAAAAAGCCGCACTGAGGAGAACGAAGATCGTAGCTGTGATGGAAGAAGTATCGGAATGCCATGTGATGCGGCGCCCATGTCTTACAGATACACGGGTCCGTCTTGTAAGAAAGGCGCGGGCCATCCGGGGTTGCCACCAATTCGGCCCACGGCTCCGCTCGTGGAGAGGTCGCAAGCCAGATCTTGACATTTTTCTCTCTGAGCGACCGAGAAAGCTCATAGAAATCGTGCCCCTGAGTCTTGCTCCAGTAACTCAGCCCGTCGGGGTCGGAGGGGGTCTCACACTTGATGTGCTCGAGCTTGTCATGAGAGTGACTTTTGGGAAGTGGCTCGAAGGTGCGACTTGAGGGTGAGTACGTTGCTACAGATCTAGTATCGGCCGTGAGGACGACCTGGATGCTGCGAAGTCTCGGAAACGCCGCCAATACTTCTATGAGTGGGTCATACTCCTTGTTGAAATAATGTATACGTCTCAGCGTGATGTTCTGGACGCAGCTGAGAAGCATCGTGTCGGCGGGCCGCGGGTTCTGCAGCCCAAGGAGCAGATCGCAAAATATGCCCCTAACAGCCTCCACTGTAGAGCCCCCCAAGGGAATGTTGAACTTGTCCATCTGGGGACTGATCAGACAGGGAACTGCATCATCAAACTGACGTTTGCAATCTGCTTCCGTGGGCGGCAATGCTGTAGTCTGGACCTTGAACGGGATGAATATTCGGTGTACCATCTTGCGAGTTTCCTGATTGATACCCAGAGGAATGCGAAGGAGTCTGTATCGCTTTTTTTGTGTCGCCGCGTTGCAGAGAGAGAAGTCGAGGCGTCCCGGTTCATCATGATCGCAGTCTGTTCCAAGGGCTCCGAGGCGTACGTAGCCTGAATCGGGAGCAGCGTTTTTGGCGACCTCAATGGTACAGACTGCCTGGCCTCTTTTTTCGAGAAAAGCTATGGTGTTGGTTATCGTGTGCTGAATTATAAGGATGAAGATATCATTGGGAATAGTTTCTGGGCCTGGTCTTCCATCGAGCGCTGGCCGTAGGGAAGGGTTTGGAGGCGGCCAAGGAAGGCTGTTCTCGCGAGGCTTGCGGACGGGCAGAACGATCTCCATGATGGGATGATGAGGGAAAGAGAAGACCGGCTATTCTTCGCGTGAGAAAGAGGAACGAGAAGGACACAGGCTGCTCGACGGGGCGGAAGGGCAGATATTGTCGAGGGGCGGGGTGCATTCACGTTCGGGAAGTTTGGCTTGGCAGATGCAGGCCTTGTCCTACGTGAACAGCAACGGGCCAACCGTTGAACGTCTCGTCTAAGAACACGCAGGCAAGCAAGAGCGAGCAAGGAAACAACTTCCAACGGCATTGAGCCAGACTACCTCAGAAAGTATACCTAAACGCCGGATCATCCTGGATCGGAACCCGCTGCGCGTCGGCCTTCCTGTTCTGTCGCTTAAAGTACCACCACATCAGCGCCACCAACAAAATCAACAAGAACTGCGTCGCGACCGCGCACCATACGCCCGTCCTGTACGTTGGATACTCTTGCTGCATGAACGTGCACGAGGCGTAGATGCCCCCGATGGCGGCGAAGAGCATCTGCACGCCGCTGGCCACCGAGCGCCGGCTGTTGGAGCGGACGTTGTTGGATTGGAAGGCGATGATGGTCGGGAGGTTGCCGTTGCAGCCGGACACGCCGAGGAAGACACCTGAAAAGAGTCAAAAATGCAAGCGTTTATCACTACCCTGGAAGCTCTTACCAAAGTACCTCACCCCGTTGTTGGAATGGTACGCCGTCAGGAGAAGTCCCGTCAGCGTGATCGCCGCGTTGAGAACCATCCACGGCATCCTCAACCGCGTCCTATCCGCGACGTAGGCAACGAGGAGCGTCCAGATGATGCTGAAGAGATACGGCGGGGCGCAGAGGAGGAAGACCACGGCGGTGGAGTAGCCGAGCGTGGTGAGGATGATCTGGATGAAGTAGGCAAAGGCGTAGATTGGCGCGGAGCAGCAGAGGAACATGAAGCCGTACACCCACAGCTCCCAGCGTATGACGAGCTTCGTGAACTTTTGCCAGGTCAAGGGGTCGGGTTCCGCGTCGCCTCGGTCGCGCTCCACGCGGTCGAGGATGGTTTCGATCTCCTGCTGGGTGAAGGCGGTGCGTTTTCCGGATGCGAGGAGTTGGTCTGGGAAGGGGAGGGTGAAGATGTATCCGATGAAGGAGAAGCCTACTGTCAGGGCGCCTTCGATGCTGCGTGAGGTCAGTTGGGTCAAGGAGGGGTTGGCTGCTTTAACTTGCATGAAGATCCAACGCCATCCTGCGATACCGTGAGCTCCGTCCAGCTTGATGATGGCGTAGGCGAGGATGTTGCCAAAGGCGGAGATGAAGAGGTTGATCATATACCAGAGCGCCATTCTGGTCTCGGAAGTCAGTGATGGTGAATATGTACTTGACGAGAATGACTTGCCTCTGCTGAACTTCATATCGCTGATACCAACTGCTCAGAAGGTACATGCAACACGGCAGAAACCCGGCCTCGAAAATCCCGATGAGCATGCGACAAGCCACAATCACTCTCCAATCGTTCGCGAACCCCATGCCAAGCATCACTATGCCCCAACTAAAAACCAGACCGTTGAGCAGGATCTTCGGGCCGATGGGTCTTAGCGCCAGGGTGGTGGGCAGCTCGAAGAGGAAGTATGTTATGAAGAAGACGAGTAGAGCGATGGAGTAGCGATTTCCGACGTCGAATCTGAGATCTTGGTTCATGCCGGCGACACGTGCGTTGGAGAGGTTGACGCGGTCCAGGCCGGCGATGGAGTAGAGGATGCCCAGGATGGGGATCAGCCGCCAGTCGACCTTGCGTCTACACTATTTGAGCCGGAATCACTGCAATGAAGATCGTTGAAACTCTTATCGAACGCGGGCTTCAGCCGTTTTCTGCTCCAGCGAGATGTCACCCTCAACGAAAACATGCTTGCGATCTTTCTCAGCCACCACCACATCCGCCTCGTCAACATGTGGCTTCTCCAGCGATGCCATGTCGATCATCTTTAGCCAACATGGACCGAGTCGAGCCCTGATCCCGAACCCAGGGGCCCGGGCCCGGGGGGCCTACTTATTCTTAACCCGATCTGTCGGTTACGCATGGCATCGTTGCAGCAGGATCTAAGGTACGGGCAACGTCGACCGAGCCGTCGTCTAGCAAGATCCGCAGTCCAACGTCTCGTCGAGGCGTCTCATTGGATACCTGGGGGGCCATCGAAGACCAAACCCCGGATTCTGCAAAGACGGAGGGCAGAACCGTCGCGGGGAAGTGGGCCGCAGGCCAAAAGGGAGCCAAGGGACGTGGATGTCGCTGTGCGGCTCACCGGATAAGGTTTTCAGATGGAGCTCCAAATTCCCCTGTAACGCCGACCGGCTTGGCGTGGCCTATGTTTTTTTTTCTTCGGTATAATGACGACGTCGGTTGACTAATTTGCAGATAGGAACTGGCATTCCGATGATTTCCGCGGTTCCGAGCGTGGTTTGAGATACACATTCACCCCGCCGCTGATAATCGCTGATAATTTCGCGGGTCACGGACGATAGCAAAAAGGAACACCACTTTGAACGTTCCGAATGAAATTACTAAGCTGATGAGAGATGAACTGCTGCACATGCGAGGCATCTTCACAATCACCTGCATGGCTGTTTCAGCCGTCAATCGCCTGACTGACATGCTCACTCACTCCTGCCCCTCCTTCGGCTTCAGGATGACGGGAGGTGTGGTTTCGCCGAAAAGCTGATGTGAGACGGCGCGTGAGCGAGAGCGTGGGAAAACAGTGTGAAGGGATCCATCTCCGTTGATCGGAGCCGAGAGCGGAGATGACACTTCCGACGACCCACTTTACCCGGGAAGCCCTGTGCGATGGATGCACCTTCCATCCAGAACCGGATTAGGAACCGCTGGCCAAAGCTCGGGCCATCTGCGTTGATATGGCTTATCGCCTCTGGCCTTTTGTCTTCTTTTTTTTTGGCTTCTTTTTTCCCTCTGTCCCTTATGGTGCACCACTAAGGTAAATCCGCCAACCTCAGATTTTAGGGTTTTCGTAGACGAAAGTTAGGCTAATTTAACCCTACACCCTTATTACTACGTTAACAACTGTATTAATTTTTTCCCTCTACTTACTTAGAATCCCTCTATAATTATAAGTAATTATAAGGTTAGGCTTAATATCTTTTTACCCTCTCTATATTATTTTCACTAAGTTTATTATAGGTTAGGGTATACCTATTAACCTAGAGCTTTATTATCTATTTATTAAAGGCCTTTTCTTTAATAGTATCCTTATAGATAATATAGTAATTACACTCTTAGAGGAAGGTATAAATATAAATAAAAGGATATTTAAGTGTTAGCTTACTAATTAAAGATTATAGTGCTATAGTTAATATAATTTAGAATAGAAAGAGAATATACTTCTCATAATTAAATATCTCTTCTACTAATAGAACGTAAAGGATAATTAGATCCTATAAAAGCTTACTTACTAAGGATATAGCACTCTATTATAGGAATAATTAAAGAAAATGCAGTAAAAATATAATATAAAGTAATAATATTTTAATAAGGAAGAGAGAGCTAAAGTTAAAGTAGTAGTAATTAAGTTTATAGAGAAGGATCTATAGAGGATACTAGCTATCTTAAACTTTAAGTAGAGCTACTTCTATTAGTATATCTGCTTTATAGCTAGTATTACTATTAGAAAGAATTAGATTTATAACTATTATATATAGATATTCCTAGATAAAGTAGCTTAGTAATAAAGAGGTAATTAGTAATACTATACTAACTTTAAAGTCTTTAAACCTAACTTCCTATAATCTATAGATAGATATAAAAAATTAAAGAGATTTAGCTTCTAGATTTATACTTATATTAATATATACTTAAGATATATTATATAGATCTATATTAAATGCTCTATAATAATAGTATTAAGTACTATAAAATAATATCTATATATAATCTAAGCTTCTAAGATTTAGCCTTTTCTCACTAAGGTAAACTATAAGAGTAAAACCCCTCTCTTTATAGATATCTAAGTACTCCTTATAGAAGTTAATTAGATAAGAATTAAATATACTAATAGAGAGAGTAGAGCTTAAGTCTACTAATAGGGTAATTAAATATTATCTTATTATATCTAAATACTAAATATAAATAATATTAGGATTAAGTTATAGTAGAAGCTCTTATATATAAGCTTTAGTAACTAATAAATTATAAGTATTTTAACCCTCTTATAAAGTATTATTATCTTATACTAAATTAGTATTTTTTATTAGAGATAATTAATATTAGAGATTTTATTCTAGATAATATTATCTATCTAATTACTATATATACTATTTATAATAATATAATATAAGAGGAAGTTACTAACTTTATAAACTTTTAGAACACTAAATATATATATAATTAAGGAAATTAGGACTATATTAAGTTAAGTTAACTAGTAGATCTATATAATTTAACCTAGGAAAATAATAAATAAGGGGTTAAAATAGAGGTAGATTCTAAAGCTAATAAACTACTTACTAAGATAAATAAACTACTAGAGGATATTAATATTAATTCTTTCCTTCTAAATAATACTAGAGATTAATACTAGTAGTAATTAGATAAAATAGGTTTTAACCTAAATTTACTTAAAGATATAAATAACTAAGAATAGCCTTATATAGAGATATATCTAAAGCTTTAGGATTAAGTTAAAGTATATATAGTAATAGGATTATAACTAAAGTTTAGCCTCATAAAGAAGCTAATAAGTAGGATAAGAAGATATATAAGTTATTACTATAATAAGCTACTTAGTAAGAGATATTCTAATAGATATAAATAGCTTAAACTCTTAAATTAAAACCCTCTTAATATATTATATTAAAACTATCCTAACCTTATATTATTATAAAACCTTTATAGTAATAAACTAAAACTAGATGAAATAGACGCTATAAATATAGCAGAAAACATACTACTATAGATAGATAACTAATTAATACCTTACTTCTACTTTAGGTTTATATAGAGACTATAAGGCCTAGACTTAGGTAGGTAAGAGTACTTATTAAGGTGCTTCTTATTCTAATTATTAGAATAAGAGAGGGGGCTACTTAAAGTAGTAAAGTTATTTAAAGTAGTAGAGTTATTTAAAGTAGTAGAGTTACTTAAAGTAGTAGAGTTATTTAAAGTTATAAAGTTATTTAAAGTAATAGAGTGATCTGAGATAGTTAAGAAGTCTAAGATATTTAAGGGATTGCTATTACTTAAGGGATTAGTAATAATCTTAGGAAGATTAAGAAGAGATAATAGAGATATAACTTTTTAGATACTATAAGGAGATCTTATTTATTAGGCGTTTAGGCTTACTTTAGGGATTAATTATAAGTTATAGCGTTATTACTTTTTAAGCTATTTAAGGTTTTAGTGTTTAGTATTAGAAGAATTAAAGTTTTTAATATTAAATATAGATTCCTTCTCTTACTTAATTAGTAGCTTAGTTAACTCCTACTTCCCTTAATAGAGAGTAGAAGCTATATACTTAGATAAAAGCGTTATAGAGGCTATACGCCTAGATAAAAGCGTAATAGAAGCTACATAATTATCTTCTACTTCTTTAATATCTAAGTAATAGAAGTAAAAGTAAAGCTAAAGAAGCTTACTATTCTTTTCCCCCTTCTTTAATATTAACTAATAGTCCCTAAACACCTTTAAAAAAATATTATAATCTTTAGATATACTAATAATAGATAGTCCTTTCTTTATACAAATATTAGTAGTAAACTGAAATTCCTATTATTTATTAAATAGCTAGGTAGCAGGCCTTTTAATAGATAACCTAATAAACTAGAAAACCTAATCTTATAGAGTTAGAGGTACTTAGGTGATATAGTTAAATAGAGGTATTATTATACTATTTATTTATCTCTTAGCTTAGCTTATAGTATTATAAATAAGAAAAAAACTTATAAATTAAATAGTAGTTTAAAAAGATAGGCACTTATATACTAAGTAATAATTCCCTAAGTCTAACCTAAATATTAAGAATAGCATATATAAGGCTAAGATCTTCCCTAGTTACTATAGCCCCTCCTTTCTTCTAAGTAAGGATTTATAAGGACCTTTCTATAGATTTACTAATCTATTACTTTTAGTAATAGTTCTTAAGGTTTAACGTTTAATTATAATAAATAAGTTATATAATAGTCTAAGCTAGGGTAGTAGCTAGTATAGATTAGCTATACTGAAAAAAGCTATTATATCTAAAACTAAGCTAAGTAGACCTATCTAGAATGTTAATAGATTACGCTAGTATATTATATAGGGTAGAAGGCCTATCTTAGGCCTTAGAGGACTGCTAAATATAGGCCTTAGAGGGCTACTAGATATAGGGCTTAGGTAGTCTCTTATTATTAATAGCTAGGTTAATAATTTTAATAGGAGTTAGTAATAATACTTAGCTGTACTATAAGTAGTTATTAAAACTATAAGTAATAAGCTTATCCCTAATATTATAGTAAAGGCGATATTTAAGGTGTTTTAGATATTATATCTTATATATATAGGGTGCTATACTAGTAATACTAACATAATAATAATAAGGGGGATAATATATTTAAAAGGAGAGGATCTAGTATTATTAAGGAGCAGAATAACTCCTAATTTAAGCTGAGATAAATAAAGATATATATATAGTTAGGTATATAGTTAGGGCGCCCCTTTCTAAATACTATTATATATTTATTATAAACCTCTTACACCTCTTAGTATAGTTTAAAATAGTGTCTTAAGCTAATTTATTATAGTATTAGCATATAAGAGAGATTAGTTAAGATATTAGGCTAGTCTCCCTTATATCTACTATCTCATCTAGTTAGGTATTCTACTATTTCAAAGCGCTATAAGCCCCTCTTAGCGTTATAGTTTATATAGTAATAAAGCATAAGTTTACCTCTAAAGTTTAATAGATAGCCTTTTTTTTTTTTAACTTAAC